CATTTTTTGCTTGTCCCCCCCTCCCCCCCGAGCACTCTACAAACCTCCTAAAGGCTATGTATGCCCTTTTTTTGACAAAAAATGGGCCAGTTTTCTTGAAAAATGAGCCATTTTTTGCTTGTCCCCCCCTCCCCCCCGAGCACTCTACAAACCTCCTAAAGGCTATTCATGCCTTTTTTTGGAAAAAAAAATGGGGCCATTTTTGTGAAAACCCGGCTGTTTTGGGGAGTTCTGCAGAGAGCAAAAACTTTTTTTTTTAATTTGCCTCTTCAAAATCTTGGCGCCTTATACTCCGGTGCATGTTATACTCCGAAAAATATGGTAATTCCCGCATATTATACATATTTTAGGTACTTAGTTGCCCCAATCTTCTTTCCTATGCTTATTTTACCTAACATTTTGTGGGCTAACATTCAATGTCTTTTGGATTTTACTTAGCATACACAGTCTTTTTTTAAAAAAAGAAATCCAGATGTGTGTACCAGCAATATCCAACAAAGTGTAGCTTTTTAAGCTATGGGTGGTCCATTTTACTGCCCTACTGGGAAACATCTGCAGAATTACATACTATATTAAAAATAATAATTATATTACTTAGATCTAATTCAGGCATTAAAGTTCCCACATGAGTGCTAGTATAGGGAAGATATAAACAATCCTGAAGTAGTGGTTTGAGATGCTGACATAAATGTCTTTATACCACATTCATTCTTCTTAAGTAGCACTTGGGACTGCCATTCTACTTCTTTGATAGATAATTCTCACTCCCAGATAATTTCTTTGTAAATATTATATTTTGATAATATTAAGAAGCATTTAATGCTGATCTAATTCACTATGCATCAAATGTACATGTTTAGTTTTCCTGTGATCATTTATCTTACATTTTGTATGATGTAAATTAATTTTTTAATCTGTACTGATTTACATCTGTTTCAGTTTTGGCAATGAATTATTTTTTGTAGTGTCAAAAAAACCCCCTGTATTGAACACAAGGACACTGCTGCTTATAATGGGAAGCATTTTATTTGAAAAATATTTTATGTGGTTACTTTAATTGGGCAGAATATGCTTTCTCTCATATTTAGAACAAGTTAAAGAGAACAAGAAAAATAATAAGCAAATTGTTACTTTCCTGACCACTTTAATGTACAAACATATAAGATTAAAGTTGCAGGAAAAACTGAACTCTTGAAATATAAAAGCAGGATTCATTGAAAACCTGGATTGGAAAAATGGTAAAAGATTGTTA